AAAGAAAATTTGTAAAACCTTCCGACCCGGTCAATGTGTGTTATATAGAGCTTTTTGGGTGGAGCACTCAGCTGTGTGCCCAGATGGTGGCCTGGGGCTCAGCTAACAGAGGTACAGCACAGACCTCCCAGCCCCTGGTGCAGTTGTCATTCCAGTGCAGTTGGAGCAAACAAACCGGACTGTCTTCACAGTGTCCCCATAAAGAAGTCACCATGGGGCCCGGCGCAGTGTAGGCTGCTCGGCTGCTAAATGCCTGCACTCTGGGAGGCCAAGGCGGGCGGATTGCTCAGAAGGTCAGGAGGTTCGAAACCACGCCTGAGTGAGACCCCGGTCTCTACCATAAAAATGTGAAAGGAAATTAACATTGGCCAAAACTATAATACTCTATATAATATAAAAATCAGCTGGGCATGGTGGCCGTGCGCTGTGTAGTCCCAGCTACTCGGCGGACCCAGCGTCACTGTGGGCCCAGCGTCACTGAGGACCCAGCGTCACTGTGGACCCAGCGTCGCTGTGGACCCAGCGTCGCTGAGGACCCAGCGTCGCTGAGGACCCAGCGTCGCTGTGGACCCAGCGTCACTGTGGACCCAGCATCAAGAACCCAGCGTCAAGCACTCACAGCCTGAACCAGAAAGGCCAGCTGGACAAGACAGAGCCATCAGTGTGACCTGTATCTGCCTGTTGGGTGGGGGGCCAGGAAGGCCTGGGGGGCACATGTGTGCATGCCTCAGCTCACTTTGCAACCCTGACCACTGGGATGTGCCCAGAGTGACTCAGAATTTCAAGAATAGCAGTTTGTCCTGTTATCCCTCAAGTTGGAGATAGACCTCCACAAACCACAGCAGGGACCTGCTCCACAGATGGTCCTGCAGGAGCCCATCTTTAAGGGTGCATCAGGTCTTGGGGTTTCCTGTCTGTGGACATGCACAACTCTGATCATCAGGCTGGTGACGAGGTTTAAGCCAGAGGATCACTGCAGTCCCAGGGCCTGTGCACATTCCCTGTATCAGGGGCTACGAGGAGAATTTCCAAGAGAAATAACATGGATCAGGATGAACAAAGGCCCCCAAATGCAAATGTATAAGAACATGACCTGTGAACAGGCCGTTTGGTGAGGAAGAAGCTTGGTTCAGTCACTGCCAAAACTGTAAATGTGATCTGAGGCCACATGAATAAAGGAATTGTGTTTAGAATAAGGGAAGTGAAAGATCCTATGTACTCAGAACCAAAATGTGAGCTGAAACATAAGGGACTCTGACAGACAGCTGTTCAGGGACCAAAGGGGCCCATACGGGGAGGGACTAGGCACTGCAGCATGGCAGGACACTAGCTCTGGGGCCGCCAACTCGGGAAGAGAGGAGGGGTGTGGCGGCTCTGAGCACTGGGGAGCAGCAGAGGAAGAGGCTTCACCCTGCAAGGCCCCGACAGGACGGCGCCAGGCAGCTGGCTTCAGCCTCTCAAGGAATAGCTTTCTTAGAGCTGCTTGAGGGGAGCTGGCCTGTTCTGGGAGGTGGTGAGTTCCCTGCACTGGAGGCATGCAAGCAAGGCGATGTGGATGCTGCCGAAGGGCAGGGCTAGACCAGGTGGTCTCTGAGCCAGCAGCCAGGTTGCCTGATACAGCCCACCTGGGCCAAGGCGGCCGGTGGTCTAGAGCAGGGAGGAGCTCTGTGGGCGGGCAGGCCTGTGACCTGCCTTCTCCCTGCTGCTGTGGGCGGTCAGGAAGCGGGGGGCTGCCCCTCGCAGGGCTGTCCTGTGGTTGCAGAAGTTCCCCGTTGGGTCCATCTGGTGCTGGAAGGAGACAGGGAGGCATTTGGGCAGCCGTGCGCGGGGGATGGCCGGTGGCGCTGGGCAGCCCAGCCACCTTGCTTACCTCGAGAATGAAAAACTTGGCTGTCTTCGCTTTGGCCCAGGTCTTCCTCAGCCTGGAGACAGGCTCATGTTCATGCCGGCTGAAGAGGGAGGGCTGGGCTGAGGCTGCCCCTGGGCAGGGGGGCCCTGTGTGGCTGCAGCGGCCCCGCCCTCCAGACAGGGTGGGTGCTGGCAGGCACTGTGTCGCGGTGGGCCCGGCCTGCGTATGCAGAGCCTGTCCCTGCCCTGTGCCCAGTGCCTGGTGGGGCCCCGTACTCTGAATCTGGGAACACACTACCAGGCCCTCTCCAAGCACCCGGAAGGCACGCCTCAAAAGGGGTGCCCTCAGGACCTCTGGGGTGGGGACCTGGGGCTGATGGCTGCCTGAGGCCTGTGGACAACTGGGCCCACACCCTCCACTGTGCAGAGGAGGGCCCCGACTTGCACCTGCACCGCCTCTCTGGGTCTCTGTGCGGGTGCCGGGCCTGGCCGGCCCACTCACAGGTGACGGCCTCCAGAGAGCTGGAGTTGCCGGCGTTGCATCGCTCGCAGGCCACGCCGATGGACAGCTCAGCCGCCCGGGCCCTCTGTTGTTCTTGGCTGGCTGGGGACAGGGCACCAGAGCCTCAGTGGCTAATTTTTTTCTATATATATTAGTTGGCCAATTAATTTCTATTTATAGTAGAGACGGGGTCTCGCTCTTGGCTCAGGCTGGTTTCGAACTCCTGACCTCGAGCAATCTGCCCGCCTCGGCCTCCCAGAGTGCTAGCATTACAGGCGTGAGCCACCGCGCCCGGCCTCCAAAGGACTTTTCATAGAATTTGACAAGTGATTCTAAAATTTAAATAGAAAAGCAGAGAGTCAACAATAGCCCAGCCACTCCTAAAGAAGAGCCTGGGGGACCCGATCGAGGGTCGTCACAGGATTGTAGTAATTAAGACAACGTGTCCTGACACAGAAACGGACGGATGGAGCAGGGCAGTGTCCCGGAACGACCTGCATGTATGTGGACAGAGCGCAGGTCTGCCAGGGCACACCTAAGGGTGAAGGAAGACATGATGGCGCAAAAACAATTGGTTATTTGTTTGGAAAAAAAATGTGAATCCCCAACTAAAGCCATAGGCACAAAATGAATTTCAGATCAAGATGTGAAGGGCAAAACTTTAAAACTCCCAGAGGAAACGCAGGACATCATCTTTATGGCCTGAGTGGGGTGTAGGGAAGGATTTCTTACCTCCCCATAAAAAACCATAAAGGAAAAATTTAGTGAATTTGACTAGAGTTAACTTAAGAACACCTGTGTGTCAAAAGACATCACAATGAGAATGAAAAGCAAAGCAACCACCCAGGAGAAGAAAATTTGCGGTACATCTAACTGCAAATGATTATTTAATGTATATTTAAAATACAACAAGAATAAAACATTCTTAAAAATCCTTAAGAAAAAGACAAACCACCAATAGAAAACTGGACAAAAGTCAGGGGCAGGCACCTCACAGAGGAGAAACAAGAATGGCCCAAAATAATGAAAAGATGCTCCATTTAATAGTTTAGTAGTTTAATAGTCAGAAATTTAAGTCTGACAATTTTAAGAGTCTATGAGGATGTAGAGCAAGAATAACCCCTGCTAGGTGTGCAAACTGGTGTATCCTCACTTGACAGCAGGTTGCCCATGTGCCTGCCCCATGACACAGTAATGCCCCTTCCTATGTATACACTAGAGTGACAGTTCTCAACGTGTTGCCTTTGGACTCCCGGGGTGGGGGCCCTGGGACCCTTTCAGGGAGTCCACAGGGCAGAGCTATTTTCATAGTAATATGATGTAATTGCCTTTTCCACTGCATTGAGATTTGCACTGATGATACAAAAGCAATGGCAGGTAAAGCTGCCCAGTAGAAGGAAAAGAACGAGTGTGACTTAAGAATGTTAATGAGGCAAAACTTTTTTTTTTTTTTTTTTTGAGACAGAGTCTCGCTTTGTTGCCCAGGCTAGAGTGAGTGCCGTGGTGTCAGCCTAGCTCACAGCAACCTCAAACTCCTGGGCTCAAGCAATCCTCCTGCCTCAGCCTCCCGAGTAGCTGGGACTACAGGCACGAGCCACCATGCCCAGCTGATTTTTATATTATATATATTAGTTGGCCAATTAATTTCTTTCTATTTTTATGGTAGAGACGGGGTCTCACTCAGGCTGGTTTCGAACTCCTGACCTTGAGCAATCCGCCCGCCTTGGCCTCCCAGAGTGCTAGGATTACAGGCGTGAGCCACCGCGCCCGGCCCCATGTGACTTCTTTTATGGGACCACTGTGAAGACAGTCCGGTTTGTTTGCTCCCTCACTGGAATGACAGCTGCACAGGGGCTGGGAGGTCTGTGCTGTGACCTCTGTTAGCTGAGCCCAGCCCAGCTCTGGGCACACAGCGAGTGCTCCACAAAAAGCTATTACACCACCGCGGTCCCCTCCCAGCCAGCCCAGGACAGATTCCTGCTGTGGGTCATGCCCTGGGCTGAGTACAGGGATGGAAGGGCATGACCCCTCAAGGGGCACCTATCCTTCTGCCCCCAAAGAGAAACTGGTTATTTCCCCTTGGAGACCTGTTTCATGGAAATGCCACCATACCGGCTGGGTTATTAAGACATGCCCCCAAGGGTTTTGGTCCAACCCACAGAATATGCCTCTGAGCTCATCAGCTCATAGCAAATGTCACCCCAGGAGGTGGATTCAACCCCCCAGATGCCAAGGAGGGGCCTGGGTGCTGGCAGAGGCAGTGTGGCAGCTGGGAGCCAGGCCTCTGGCAATGGCGAGCCATCGACCAGACAGCCCGAGCCCAGGGCCCTCAGAAGAGAACAGGTGGTGAATAGTCACAACCGTCAGCTAATTTTCCTTCATGCTCTCTTGAAACACACAAGGCCTGCAGCATTCTGCAGGTGTGGCCTCTGGCATGCTGGCTGTGAGGGACCTGTCTGAGGACTGCGGTGCCAGCGCTCTTGTGATGGAGGCAGCTCCTGCCCACCCTCCTGGCATCACTTCCCTGTGAAGCAGTCCCAGGCAGCTGTGGTATAGCCCTCAGGACACGAGGAAGGGAGAAGTGGCTGTTTAACCTAAGCCCATGTCGTGGGTCAGACCAGAAGGCGCCTGCAGGCTAGCTAGGCAGCGAGCGGGTCACCGGACATCTGGCTCTTCCGCCTCCTGCCCACCAAAGGAACAGCCCCTCTCGGCAAGGCTGCAGGCCAAGATGTGGTCAGCATGCTGCCTCCCAGGTTGTCATATGAGTTCAGGGAAGATGGGGAGTGAGGTCCAGCCATGCCAGCCCTGGGGGCACAGTCAGACCCTGTGAGCTCCGACCCCTGCATGACCCTCCAGTCTTTCTCTCCCATACAGCCTGAGTCCCATGAGCAGCTACACCGGCCACATGTGTCCTCACCTCCCACTCACTCCTTGGCCACCCCATCTGGGAGCCACTTGCATAAGACCCTTCTGTTACCATAGCCAATGGCCATTTCTCAGGCTGCATCTTCTTTGGCCACCTCCACCTCAGCTTCCTGGTTCCTCCTGCCTGTCTTTCTATCCTGGTCTTCCTCAGTCTAGACCTCTCTTCTCACTCTTTCCTTTGTTCCTGGCTGTTCTGGTTCATGTCCACAGTGCCATCTGACGTCCATGTGTGGACAGTGCCCACATTTACACATGCAGCGTCCCCTCTGATCTCCAGAGCCACAGGACATGGCCTGCCCAGACCCCGTGCTGGACACAGGCGTCCTGTGCTCCTCCACAGCCAGCCTGCACGCACACAGGCTCGGAACCCCTCCTCCCACCCTCTCCCCAACACCCCTCCAGGCCTCACTAACCCTCTCCATTTCATTGTCTTCTATTTCCACGAGTCTCCAGCACTGTCCCTGTGGTCCAGGTCACTGCTGTCTCCTAGTGGCTGCAGCGGTCTCCCCAGTGGCCCCATTGCATCCATGCCAGCTTTCTCCACTCTCGCTGCAGAGTGGTCTATTTGAGGTGCAAATCTGACCACTGCCTCCCTCTTCCTCAGGAACCTCCATGGCTTTTGCAAAGACAAAAGCCCCACTGTGGCTCTAAGGCCCTGAGGTCAGCTCTGGTCATGCTCAATGGCTCAACGTGTCCCTTGCTCCCTGACTGTGCTCTGGACACAGGTCACTCTTCCACCCCTTTGACCCCTCCTCCTCCCACTCCTCCCATGTCCCGGCAGGGCCTGGGCATCGTTCTCCCTTTTGGCATGTGCCCCTTAACCCCTGGACCAAAGCTCAGGCACCGCTTCCCAGACAGGCCACTGGTGCTCAGAGCACCATACCCGTCCCACGCACGGTTGCCCACTTCACGGTTTCAGAGCCATCAGGGAGACTACTCTATTCGTGCACATCCTCTCCGCAGACCACACACTGCACTCAGACAACAGCTGGCTGCTCTCTGATTGTCCCAGCACGAATGGCAGGGCCTGGACCACAGGAGGTGCCCACGCACAGCTGCTGGGCGGGTGACGAGCACGGCCTCATGGCGGACAGCCAGACATTCTCCCGCAAGGGTGTCAGGCAGACTGCAGGGCCTTACCACAACCAAGGGCCCAGTGCACCTGTGCCTGTCCCTATAGAATCATGGGGTTGCCCTACGTTTTTTTTTAATGCAGGTAATTTAGCAGGACTTGTTTTTATAGAACCAATATTCATTCCTAATAATTACTTCCTGTTTGCTAATTCATTTGGAATATTTCCAGTGGTGTTAACTTAAGCTTATCTGTTTGTTCTTTCCTGAACCTTCCGCTCCCCTTCTGATGTGGGGATGGTATTTGCCCTTCTCTTTGACTTGCTTTCATTTCCTGATTTCCACACTCTGTGGGCAGACACTTGGAGACCCCCAGGTAAATGTGGGCAGGCAGAGACCTAAACCACTGAGAATGTCAGGGTGTTCCCTGTTGCTTTGTGAACTCATGTTTACAGAGCACCAGGATGTGCCTGGGTGGCACAGCACCTCATCCCTCCTGCCTCGGGCTGGAGCCCTCTCTCCACTGGCTGCAGCTGGAGTGTGCCCTGCAGGCTGCGAGATCTGGTGCTGTCTTTCCATCTTTTTCCACTGAGCCATCTGCTGCATGCACAGAGCCAGGCATGAGGGCAGAAGTCATCCAAATGTGGCCTGGGTGGTGGCCCCAGTGTCTCTAAGTTCTCTTGGAGTGGGCATTTCACAGCTAGAACCACCTGTCCCTGGCTAGAAAGCGCTGGCCCCTGTTCTCTGAAGTTCTTGAAAACTCCCTCCTGAGCTAGCCAGGAGCTCGTGAGGGGCCTGGGGCTCTGTTCCTCTGCCAGCTTGTCCTCTGTGTCAGTGATCTGCCACCTCTGCCCTCGGAGGGAGCCTTGGAGGGTGGCAGTCAGTCCAGCAGACAGTCCGTGAGAGCAAGGGGAGACAAGACTAGTCCACAGGGAGGGCTATCGAGTCAGCCGCCTCTCAGGGCTGGCCCAGAGTGGCTGGGGCACTGCTGTCCGCCTGTCCTTTCTCCCATATCCGGGGCTGCCACCCTCTGCATCTCCCCTGGGCTCCCCCAGTCTCTCTCAGCCTTGGCACTGGCCCCGCTGAGCTGTAACTACTGAGTCCAACCTACCAGGATCCCCTCAAGGGCAGGGCTGGCCATGACACACCCCTGGGTTCCTGCCAGCTCAGGGTGGCCCAGAGCAGATGTCTCAATGCAGTGGTCAGATGCTGGGAAGGCCTCCATGGGCGCCCTTAGAACCCACAGTCGCGGAGAGTGGCTTCCTCAGCTCCTCTCCAAGTTTTGTTCCCAGCTGCTGAGAGGTGGTGGGGAGCAGGGGGAGGACATGGTAGTGGGGCAGTGGGAAAGAGGCTCTGATGAGGAAGCCCTTGCAGAGGGTCCGGAAGGGAACCCCTCAGCCCTGGCCCTGTGCGTCTCCTCTATATCCCTGAGCTCTCCTGTTCTCACAGCCCTGTAAGGGAGGAATTATCACCTCCCTTTTACGGAAGGAAATTTAAGGATCAGAGAAGTTAAGTAACTTGCCCCAAGACACAAAGCTCTGAAACCACCTGTGTTCATCTCATTGCCTTTTGCCCAGAACCTTATATCTTTTGATCCCATCTCTGTGTGAGAAATCTTTTAAAAGATAATGCTGAAGTATTTTTGAAACAAAAGATATAATGTCTATAGTTTCCTTACAACAAATTTGTGGGGAGGGGAAAATAAGTGAGGGGATAGAAGAAACGAGTCTACTAAAAAGTTGGTAATTGTTGGAGCTGAGTAATGAGTACAAAGGTGTTCCTAGTTACTATTCCTTACATTTATGTATGTTTGCAGTGTTTCATAATAAAAGTTTCATAAAAGTTAAAAAGTATGCCCATGTGCCTGAATCCTGCAAATAATTCATTTCTCATTGTAGCTCACATTTATCTAGTGCTGAAATGAGAGCACACATGATTTCAGGGCCCCTTGATGTAAAGCTGTGCAGTAGGGACAGTCATTATCCCTGTTTAACTGATAAGGAATCTGAAGCTCAGAGCAACAAAGCCCTCTGCCCAGGGTCATGGAGCTGTGGTTTCTGAGTCTCGACCTGGGCAGGCTCAGGTGCTCGAGGTCCTGTGGACCGCACCTCATCAGTCTGGTTCTGTCCTCCTTTGTGCTGTGTGGGAGGGCGGCAACCTGCAGCCTACCTGCTGCCATTCCATGTAAAGGGCCAGTGCCCAGAGCACATCCTTTTCGGGTAGGTGCTTTTCTGTGGCAGGGCAACTTGGGGATACTGGGGTCACCTGGGAACACCCCTGGCCGGGGCTGGGGTGGGGTGGGGGTCTCCTATTCTAGTCCACACCACGTAGCCCTGGTGACAGGCCTGACAGGTCCTTAGTGAGGACCTGTGAGGAGGCACTGGCTTCCCAAGGGGAACCAGATCCAGACTTATACCCATCCCTACCACCCAGACATGGTTCCACCAATGCCAGGCAGATCAAATAAGGGAGGATAATCCTATCTTGTCATGTGACTTAGACCTCACTGCTGCTGAAGACCTGGGGGCTTCCCCCTGGGGGAGGGGGAAGGATAAAGCAGGAGACTGGGCTCTCAACCCCTTGCATACCCTCTACCACACACACCCACCCACCACCCCACACCCATCTCTTCTCCACACACGTGCGATCACACACCTCCGCTTTACTGTGACCCACCCACAGACCCAGCAATTCACTCATCTGTCCTTTCTTCCTTTTAACATCCACCCACTCACTCATCTACCCACCCATCCATCCACCCACCCACCATACACACACCTTTCACCTGTACTCATCTCCTCTCTGCCCACATGCTATCTCCCCTCTATACAGTTAACCTACCCATGGTTCCAGCAATTCACTCATCTGTCCTTCCTCCTTCCTTTCTAACACCCACCCACTCACCTTCCCATCCATCTTGTCATCCATCCACCCATCCACTTTTCCTACTTTTCTGCCTCCTTTCTTCTTTCCATTAATCTTTCCACATCTGCTCACCCCATACATGCACCCGCCTATGCATTACCCAAACACCTGTTGCCCCCTACACCATCCATAAAAGGAGCCCACTGTCCACCCAGCCAGTCAACTAGCACCCACTTTCCCCAATCCCTATCTATCCAATCATCAACTCTTCCCTGACCCTGTTCTGTGCTGTATCCTAGGCCAAGTGTCATGATCCTGAGATGGCATTATGGCTTCCTGTTGCCCAGCCTGCCTTAGCAGTTTTCCTTTGTCTTACATGCAGCTGGCTCTGCCATGTCCAGACCCACCTTGGGGCACATCATTAGGTACCAGCTTGCCATGTTCAGTTTCTTCCTGGGGCAAACTGCCCACGACCCCCACCCATGTTCTCTCTTTCCAGATAATGCAACACCAATGCTGCCCACAGCATTATTCTGGGGATGCTGATAAACCTGCCCTTTCTAAATATTCCAGGAGACATCTGTCATCATAATCTTGGGAGCTGAAGATTTTTGTCCTCCTTTCACCCATAAGGAAAGTGGGACTTGGAGACCCTTAAGTGCTCTCCCCAGGGTAGAACAGCCTAGAGAGCAGAGTGGGTGCTGGCTGCAGAGGCACCTCATGCCCAGTACACCTGCCGCTTCCCTGCCACTGGGATTTCCCAGCACAAGGGCCACATTTACCTGTCGTGTGGTTTTAGCTGCAGGGCACCTCTCCCCGCCTCTTCCCCTAGCCTGCCGGGTTTACAGCTTACCCTTGGGGGCCGAGAGGATCCCTGAGAATCTGTCCAGACAGTGAGTGGTCCTTATCCCCACCACTCTTGTTCTTTGGTTCATCCTGCAGAGCCCTTTTCCTGCCCCTGATGTGCAGGTCCTTGCTCAGGTCAGAGCACTGACCACCAGCCCAGCCCTGGACATGGCGCTGGGCAGGAGAGAGGTCTCTGTGGCAAAAGGCACAGGATGAAGGCCGAGCCATACCAAGCGCCCACCAGTGGGGCTCCCCTGCCCCGTCTGATGCCTCCGTGAACGCAGTCAGGAGAGAGGTCAAGAGCCAGGCCTGCACCCGGACCCCCTTCCTGCTCTGCAATGCCTGATTCCCCATGGGTCAGAAAGGGGCCGATTCTGGAGGGCTGCAGTGTGCAGCGTGGGGGACAAAGGCTCTGAGAGGGGACCCCAGGGGCAGGCTTGGCCTGGGATGTGACCCGGGTTCGCCCACCTCGTCACAGGGGGCGATGCGGCCCGCCACGTCCTTCAGGTGCCCGATGGCCGAGTCCTCCAGGAAGTCCCGCGGAAGGTGTCTGCCCACTCGGCCAACAGCTGCAGCAGCTGGGGCCAAACTTCCGACCCGGGGCTGCAAGGCAAGGCTGCGAGGGGCGGCCCACTGGGTGCGGGCGCGGGGCGCGGCGCCTCGGCCCTCGCTGCCGCCTTTGCCGGGGCGGGCCTCGTGCCCGCTCTGCGCCTGGCCGGCCGGAGGGGCACGAGGTGGCGGTAGCGACCCTGCTGGCTCCCACAGGGAGCAGAGCGGGCCAGACGCGCGTCGCGTCTCGGGAGCGTCCGCCGCTGCGCTCTCCCTCTCGCGCCTCCGCCCGCCAGGGGACTCGCGCCCTCACTCCCGCCGCGGGGCGGGCCCAGATTAGTGCTGGCCAATCAGGACACCGCGCACTTCCATCCTGCACAGTGACTGGCTCGCAGATGGTCATGTGACCTAGGCTTGGCCAACGAGGTTGAGACGTTCGCGGGACGGGGCGAATTGCTCCGCCGCGTGGTGGAAGGCGATCCTGGCGCAGCTGACCACAGTCCCCCTGGGAGCCCGGCCGGAGCGAGGCCGGCCAGGGAGCTGGTAGCAGGGCGACGGAAGGAGAAGGACCACGGCTCAGTGTTGTCCTTTGAGCTCCTGGAGCCTGCGGTACCTGAGACCTGAATGTTACCTGAGCCAGAAGTCCCTTTGCTTTAGGCCAGTTGAAGCTGGCTTTCCCTCACTGTCCACAGCAGAGCCGACTGCCACGCCAACGAATAGACGGTGGCAGCCCACAGGATCCGCCAGGAATGGAGGAAATGTAGTGGGAACCATGGGGAGATTGGGCCCTTCAGCGGGCCCACGGGGAAAGGAAGCTGGAACAGCTGTGCTCACGGAAGGAAGCCCAGCCGAAGCTGCGGGCGCCTCCCAGGCCACAGACGCAGGGTCTCTACTGGCCGAGCTCCTGGTACGGGGTCTGGGCTTACTGTGAGCGCAAGGGCTCCCATAGGGTGCCAGAAAACTGCACGGGAGTTAAAGGTCCCTGCAGGGTTCCTTCTGGCTCTGGACCTCAGACAAGTCAGAACCACCCTGTAGCCACCCTTTCAGAAAAGCAGGGACAATCACTGCCTCCATGAGTGCATGGCACGGGGGAGCTGGTATACTCAGAAGCCCCCTGCCCTGCCCTGCCTCTCACCTTGTCCAGCACTGGCTTGTCCAGCTCCTGCTGCTCGACGCACAGGTAGCAGACCCGGGCAAGGAGCTCCTGGGGCTCGATAAAGAGGCGAGAGCTCAACAGGAAGGTGAAGATGTAGGCTTTCTGGGGGACACATGAGAAAGAGCCCACACTCTAGGAGGGCATAGGGTGCGGCATGCCTCCCAGCCTGCCCCACCCCACAGATCCAAGGCCACTTCCAGCCCTGTTGTCTCACTGTGCCCACCTCTGGGTAGTAGTCAGCTGTGGGTACCAGGTGTTGGATGAGGGTTTCCAGGGAGGCTGAGGATGGAGCTCCGTCCAGGAGGGGCTGCCTGGCCTGCTTGCCATCTGTGGGCTCCTCGGGAAGTGGGCTGAGTTTGCCTGGGGTGACCATGTTGGAGGTGCTCAGCGTCTGGGGCATGCCTACCTGTAATGGCAAGGAGTGGCGGGGGCACACCTGAGCTGGGGCCTGCTCAGACTGGGTGGGCTGTGCCTCCCACAGTAGCTTCTGTGCCTGCTTGAGTCCCGGGATCATTTCCTGGGAGGGCTTCCAGGGACCTTGCAGCATAGCCTCCATTCTCCTCCTTCTTACAGCCCCTCAACTCTCGCTCACCTCTTCTCTGGTCTCAGCTTCCCATTTAGGGGCAGGCCCCTTCTAAAGTCCACTGCCTCCCCGCCCCCTGCCACCACAAAGGTCGACTTAACACACCTGTATGATCAGAATATTCCCCGCTGCTGCTGGCCATAAAGTTTGGTTCAGGGACAGGCCTGATCCAAACTGGAGGGGGGGGGGTTCCTCAGGCACAATCCTAGAACTTCTGTAGCACTTGGAAGCTCTCTTCCTCCTGGGGTCCCTGAGCTGGTACAAGTAAGCCCAACACTGTTGGGGCCATCTTGACACCATGAAGGGTCAGGAAAGTGGGCACATTCCTGAGGACAGCATTGGAGGCTCTGGATCCTGCTGTGCCTGAAGCTGATCTATGGACTTCTGGCATTCTGGGCAACCTGTCCAACCTCACTTCCTAACATTCCGTGTTGTATGCTTTTTTTTTTTAAGAGATCGGGGTCTCACTATGTTGTCCAGGCTGAGGTGCAGTGACTATTCACAGGTGCCATCATAGTGCACTGTACCCTCGAACTCCTGGGCTCAAGTGATTCTCCTGCCTCAGCCTTCCAAGCAGCTGGGACTGCAGGTGTGCACCACTGTGTCCAACTCTCATCATATGTTCTTGGTGCCAGCCATGTACTCTCCTCCAAACCCCTTCTCCAACTCTGAGCCACTGCACATATTGTTCCCTCCCACAAGAAGTCTCTCCCACCATCTTCACTTCTGCATCCCTCCAGACGTAGCTCAAGTGCCTCCTCCTCGGTGGAGCCTTCCCTGCCTCCCTGCAGTGCCCCCCCAGGCCACACTTGACCTCTGGTGACCATCAGCAGATTCCCCTGGTCAGCCTTCTTGGGTGCCTGGGGGCACTGCTGTCAGTGTCTGGCCCAGAGAAAGGCCAGCTACAGCTGTTTTGGTGTCTTCTCCACCCAAACCTCCTCCACTGAGCTGGCACTGAGTACACATGTGCACAGGAAACCCACACCTGCTCCCTGAAGCTCTTCCCCTTGTCCCTGTGGGACCAGTCTTCATTGAAAAGGCGGGGCCCTCCCATCACCATGTCTTGCCCACGTTCTCAATCATGGTGTCCTTCGGGCTCACCATAGGGTCTTCCAGGGACTCTGAATCTCCCCTGCTCACACCACCCCTGCTGCCCTGTGGCAGACCCCGACCCTGGCCCCCTGAGTGACCCTGCCCTGGGAGTAGAGATAGAGGGATGTGGAGGTCGAGGGATCCCCCTCAGAGGGCGGTCCTGTGGGTGTGTAGGTGTGGGAGGTGCTGGGACTGGGTTACAGCCTGGGGAGGGCTCAGGCATCAGTGTGGACTGCAGCCTGGATACTGCTGGCCCTGGGACAAACGCAGCTCTGTTTTCACCTCCTGGGAACTCTGTAACTGTTCAATTTTCAGCCAGTGAAGCTGTAAAATTTCACAGAACTGCCTCCTGTCCATCCCGGGGGAGGCAGCTGTGTAGGTGGGCGGGCAGGGCTGCAGCTGCTCAGCGGGAGGGCAGCCAGCTGTGGGGTGGGTGCTGCCGGGCCTCACACCCAGGGCCGGTGCTGGAGGCTGATTGCAAAGGACAGAAAACTTACAGCCCGGCAAGGTCTGCTATCTCCTGCCGGACACTTGGCACCTGTCCACCCTGCAGCGTTGGGCCTGTCCCAGATCCTAAATGTAGTTTTCTCAAAGACAGGACAGTCGCAGGGGAGAGTGACTCTAGGAACCTCTCTGCAGGCCAGGGTGGTCTGTCAGACAGTGGGAGGGGCCACAGAGGGCCTTTCTGAGCGAGGCCAGGGTGTTGCCACTTCTAGAGACAGAGGGAAGTTCCCAGAGCACCTCAGGGCCTGTCTAGAACTGGGTGCTGGGTGTGGGGTACTGGGCACATAGGGGTGGGGACAATGTTCAGCTTCAGTTCTGCTCTAGAGTGCCTAGCTCACAGTGGGGGCTGGGGTGGAAGCAGTTGCAGAACCGTCATGACCTTCAGGGATGCCCAGAGAGAGGCCGGGCTGCTGGTGGCCCTCTGACCTCCAACCACCCATGGTGTCACCAACTGGACCCAGGCCTGGGTCTCAATGAACGGGCTTGTCCTCGTGCTGCAGTGTCTGGTTTCCTCCTGCTCTTGCCAAGGGCCATCCATTCATATACGTATGCATGGAGCAGCTCCTGGCACTGTTCCGGGCACTGGGAACAAAGCACAACTTCAGGGAGCCACTGGAGGGAGGAAAAGCTGTGAAGAGACTGCCCCACTGGAGGATGTGCCAATGAGGAGAAACGGAGTGACAACTCCCTGTGGCTGGATGTTCCTGGGAGACCTCCAAGAGAGGGTGGGGGCTTCCACCAGGAGGTGCCCCCATCATCCTCTCGCCCCTCTTTACAGGCAGGCTGATGCAGACAGCACCAGGCGGCGTCCACCCTTGGCCTCTGCATGAAGACAACTGGGGGCACAGAGGCCCCTGCTGCCCCTCCACCCACCTTGGACAACCCAACTGCCTCCTCCCACCAGCGGGGGCTCCAGCCTGCCCGGAACACAGGGAGGGCAGGGGTCATGAGCGTCTGCACTGGGGACTGAGGGCAGGAAGGAGTCTGCAGAGAGACACGCCAGGCAGAGGGACCTACGTGTGCAGAGGCTTAGTGGAGCTAGAAGCCGGTGTGGTGTGGCTACAGGCACGTGTGCTTAGCTGGCGGGAGCCAGGCAGTGGCTCCTGGAAGGATAGCGGGGAGTGACCAAGTTGGGGATGAGGGAGTGCACAAGGGTGGTGGGCACATCACACTCTTGTGTGCACAAACAGCTATGTGGCTTGCTCAAGATCTTACCCCCCGTGTGACCCTTCCCATAAGTGCTTTTGTTAGTTTCTGGCCTATCTTTCTATAGCTTCTTCATACAGGGACAAGAAATATAAATATATATTCCTCCTTTTCTGTTTTTATTACAAAAAAGGTAGCATATCGTCCACACTTTCCTATGCTGGGCACTTTTCACTAATGATGCTTTTGGAGATCTTTCCACGGCAGGGCAGGCCTTCTTCATTCACTTTTTTGGAAACCACCTCCCAGTATTTCATTGTTTGGATGTCCAGGAGTAATTTTTATTTTTTTACTGACAGAGCAAAATTGTGAAGAGGAGTAATTTTTAAAAGCCAATGATGAAGGAGCCCAAGTGCCCATCAGTGGAGGAGCGGATAAACAGAAGGCTGTCTGTCCATACGGTGGGGTAGTATTCAGCCTTAGAAAGGAAGGGAGTTCTGATTCGCGCCACACGTGGACGGACCTTGGGCATGTTATGCTGAGTGAAACAAGCTAGTCACAAAAGGATAAAACTGTAACTCCACTGTATGAGGAACCTAAACTAGTCAAACTCAAGAGGCAGAAAGTAGAGTGGAGGGTGAGGGTTGGGGAGATAGTGTTCAATGGGCACAGAGTTTTAGTTTTGCAAGATGAAAAAAATTCTGGAGATGGATGGTGGTGATGGTCACACAGCAATGTGAATGGACTTAATGCCACTAAACTGTACACTTTAAAAATAGTTAAGATGGTAAATTTTATGTTATGTGTATTTTAATAAAAATTTTAAAAAGCCAGTGATGCTAGGAAAATTGTTTATTGTTACAGTCTCCCCTGAAAGTCCTTTAAATGATCAGTGAGTTTCCCAGTCTGTTTTTGAGAACACAGCCCGAGTGGTGCCCTGCCTGGGCTGGCGTGCTGGGGGACAGCACAGACGGTTCTGAGCCCAAGCCCTGTCTCCAGAGCCACTTCCACTTCTCTGCCGGGCTGGGCCTGGGGCCCAGGTCAGCAGGGGCATGCACGCCATCTGCTCCAGTGGGTTTCTGCTTTGCGCCCCACGAGCAGCGCCTACTACAACGAGCAGTGCTGGCAGGCGTGCTTTGGTGGCCCCTTACACATGGCTGGGTGGGGCGCACTGTCATAGTCCCTCTGATTGTACCAGGATTTTGCTCAATGTGCCAAGAGCCTTATGTTTGATAGTGTCCATTTAGCCTAATCCAAACCTTGGAAATTTACCCCAAGAAAATAATCTCAGTGAGCAAAGCTGTGGACAGAAAGGCATTTGCTTTGATATTAATTATTGGCAGTGAACACGACCTAGAGTTGCAGAGAACAAAGGGAGAATGACGAGAAGATGGTCACGTACCACTGGTGGAGCTGCCGCCACTGTGGAAGTGCAGCCGGGCAAGCTCAGCCGGGCAAGCTCAGCCGGGCAAGCTCAGCCGGGCAAGCTCAGCCGGGCAAGCTCAGCCGGGCACAGAGAACGCCACAGCGCAGCGCAGGGAGGGCTGGAGAGAAACCACACAGACGCGGAGGCTGTCACTTACGCGGGTGGAGACTGTGATGGGCTGAGAACACGTCAGTGATGTCCCCATTGTCTCAGTGTCACTGAGTGTGGTGACGAAAACCAGCTCTGCTGGGCTCTGCGGGGCTGGCCCCTCGCTCAGGCCTTCCAGGGTAAGAACCCCCGGAGCCCTGACTTTTATGTTTCTGATGTTAAGGGTAGTAATTCATTCTATTTTTTTAAAAAGCCACCATGGGGCCACACAGTGTGCCAAAAGCACATTTAGATATGACATCTCTAGCTCCCAGGTGGCAGTTCACAGTCCCCACTCTGCTGGGGTCCCCAAAGCCCCAGCAGCAGTGGCTGGTATAAAAGAATCTGCAAAAATGGAAATCTGTTGAACTTGCAGAAGAAAAGTGTGTGGCTGGTCAGTGCAGCATCTTGGGGACTGGACAGATATTCTCCCTGGGCCAGAGGTAGCCAAGGGGACAGAGGCAAAGTTGTTCCTGGAGAACCCCATGAGCTCCGGCAAGTG